GATGGATGGATGGATGGATGGATGGATGGATGGATGGATGGATGGATGGATGGATGGATGGATGGATGGATGGATGGATGGATGGATGGATGGATGGATGGATGGATGGATGGATGGATGGATGGATGGATGGATGGATGGATGGATGGATGGATGGATGGATGGATGGATGGATGGATGGATGGATGGATGGATGGATGGATGGATGGATGGATGGATGGATGGATGGATGGATGGATGGATGGATGGATGGATGGATGGATGGATGGATGGATGGATGGATGGATGGATGGATGGATGGATGGATGGATGGATGGATGGATGGATGGATGGATGGATGGATGGATGGATGGATGGATGGATGGATGGAAATAAGTGTTCCCTATTCTAAAGTGTTACCATAATTATTTATAAATATATATATAAAATTATATATATTTATATATATATATAAAACTAACTTATATGTTGTTCATTTATGTTCGTTTATAATACATAGTTAATTTATGCTGACGTTAAATGGAGCAAAAGACACAGCAAGACTGCTGAAAAGTAATACGGAGATATTCTTATCTCAATAAAATTCCAGAACCAAACAGAAAGCTGCGTTAATTCACAATTTCTGACACACAGCTGATCAAATAATGAGATGTCAGTCAGGCTTAAGGTTGTCAATCAAACTATAACTGTACAGACACATGTAAAACTGAAAACATTGAAAACTACATTTCTACTCAAAATGTGAGTACTATACAAGTATATGTATATGTAATGAGGCATTAATTGCATTTGAACAGTTGAGATCGTAATCACTGAAGTTTCCAGTCAATTCATCATTGTCAAAATGTTCAGAACCTCTAACCGGCTTAATTTTCCCATGTCGGTTATTTCATTTTTTTTAATCCATACTACCACGTGTGTAGTCGGTGCTATACGAGTGTTGAGCTCGCGTCTTTTGCAGCGCCTCGCACATGAGTGGCGTGGTAAAAGAAAGAATTTAAACTTTTACATGCAGCGCCTTGTCCTTAGCCATCTTCAAGAATCGGCTAAAAACACATCTCTTCCATCTTTATTTGACCCTCTAACTCTAGCACTCTCTATTCTAATTCTATTCTTAAAAAAAAAAAAAACTTGCCCCTTTTAGATTTAGGCCCAATCCCAATTCTACCCCTTAGCCCTTCCCCTTTTCCCTACCCCTCCGTTTCGCGCCATCACGTGAAGGGGTAGGGGTGTCTCGATTCTCTTTTGGTTGGAGGGGTAGGGCCAGACAGCCCTTCAAATTAAGATTTTTAGGGACCACACTTCAAACGAAGGGGTATGAATTATCTCAGCGTAAACCGGCTTCAGTGGCAACATGGCTGCCCGAGCGAACAAAAAGACACATAAATGTAAGCATTTTTGGCATTAATAAAGATTTTAACGAAAAGTAATCATTTGTTTTATGTTACATTCATCGTACAATTGTGAGTTCATATTTACGGTCATGTTACTCAAACAAATGTTTGCAAAAAATCGCTAAAGTTTGCTAACGTCATATCATTACTGACTGCAAGATAGTGCCACAACATAGGCTATTTTCATGTCTGATCAGGGCGATAATAATTAACCACCATAGACATTGAAGAGGGCTAGTACCCCCAATAATTATAAATTGCTAAACCCTTTTCTGAAATATTACCAATTCGAGAGAGAGAGCGAGATGAAAGTTGCTTCTGTGCGTTTCTCATTTTAGAGTGAGTTTACTTCAAAAACAGTGATTTTATCCTCTTGTTGCTGGAGGGCCTTACACTCTATTCATTTACTAACTGCTTGCTTTCTTTAAAAAAAAAACTAACACTAGCTTCTCTATTCTTTTTGTATTCTATTTGGTTTCTTTTTATTTATTATACAATGAACAAAAAGCAAACAATATCTTGCTCCATTCTTTTTCTATTCTATCGGTTTTCTTTTTATTATATAATTTTAAAAAAACTCGCTACGTGTACTGCATTAAGCTAACTGAGACTTGTCATAGCACTCGCATATCATTGCTCTTTTGTTGATTTCGATTGCTTCCATCGTCCTCATTTGTAAGTCGCTTTGGATAAAAGCATCTGCTAAATGACTAAATGTAAATATAAATGTAAAAAGGGTTGTATATGGTATTTTAAGTCGACTTAAGAAAATTAAAGTGAAGATTTAAGGGATAGTTCACCCAAAAATGAAAATTATGTAATTAATTACCCGCTCTCATGTCGTTCCAAACCCCTAAGACCTTCATTCATCTTCGAAACACAAATGAAGATATTTTTTGATGAATTCCGAGAGCTTTCTGACCCTGCATAGACAGCAGCATAACTACCACGTTCAAGACACAGAAAGGTAGTGTAACGAATCAGCTCATGACAGGAAATATGAATAACTAACCATAACTAGTTATAATTAACTATTCATATTTTAGATCCTGTGCATTTATCTGCTTGTAAACAAGGCAAAGTGCATGCATCGTGGTACTCTCATGAATGGTGACGGTCTGACCCGGAAGAAAAGAAAACATTGAATAAAGTAATTATTTTTGTTTTCTTAGCGCACAAAAGTATTCTCAGAGCGTCATAAAATTACAGTTATACTACAGATGTCACATGAACTATTTTAACAAAGTCCGTACAAGGTTGCTGGGCCTTGAACTTGATAGTTACCTTGCTGTCTATACAGGGTCAGAAAGCTCTTGGATTTCATCAAAAATATCTTAATTTGTGTTTCGAAGATGAATGAAGGTCTTAGGGGTTTGGAACAACATGAGGCAAGTAATAAATTACATAATTCACATTTTTAGGTAAACTAACCCTTTAAGAAACAATGCATATTTATCCATTTTAAAAATCCTTCTGTTACAGGAACACTCAAGACATTCTATCAGGGTAAGTTAAATCGCCTGTGTTTAATATTGGAGGATTTGCTGTGTTTGTTTGTGGTAAAGGCAGTGAACTGACATGACTGCACGCTGACTGAACACCGCCTGTCTAAAGACGCAGGGAAATCCTGATCCTGCCTGAATCTGGCAGCACTGTGGAGGATTACGCTCAACTGATCCGGCATGTAAGACATATGACAGAACTTTACTCTAAGTCTTAGTTGGATTCCTCCTGCAGGAGAGACGTGCATGTTCAATTCAATTCACATTTATTTCTATAGCACTTTTCATAACACATATTGTTTCAAAGCAGCTTTACAGAAAAATGCATGTCCCAGACCTAACAGTCAAGAAGCCATAAGTGACTGTGTCAAAGAGAAAATCTGCAATGATATATTTGAAACATGAGGTATGTGCAACCAATCTCTGACTGGAACTCAACACACATGTGACTTTAAAGGTTTAGTCATGATTCACTCACCTTCATGCTGTTCGAAATCTGCATAAGTGGCTTTTCTTCCATAGTAGGGCTACACGATATATCGTTTCAACATCGATATCGCTATGTGCTCATCCGCGATAGTCACATCGCAGTATGTGCGATGTCTAGGCTACTAATCGTTATATTTATACTGATAGGCGCGACATGTGAACGGCCCCAAAGTCTGGACTCGACAAAGCGACCGTTGCATATCATTTGAACTTTGTGTCAGTACATCATAAATGAGGCATCAGTTTACTGTCGGGGATTTGTCGTGCCGCGCCGCATTCAGTGTAGACAGTCACACAGCATCACTGATTAAATTAGGTTCTATAGTATTTTGTCGCATCGCGCCACTCGCGTCCGGTGTAGAGAGCCACGCAGATGCACGTGAACATCGAATTCTGTTCACTTCTGCGTCTATTTGTGCCTGAACTACTGTGCACTGCAAGTATCCTTGTAAACGCAGATGCTTATGGCTTAGGTGAAGGGAAACAATTGAGAAAGAAAATGGATGTGTAACAGTAGCCTATATTGGTTTACAGCAGTTTAATGTTCCTGTTGCTTTCTCTGTCATGAGCATTAATCAAACAACAAAACACAAAGAAAACTCACTTTTGTAGCTTTAACATATATTTAATCGATTTAATTTATATAGTGAAGGCTATGCACAGTGTTATTTTACATTGGATTATTCAATTTCTGTACCTGAATACTGTTTGACTTACCTGAAAAATATAAAGCACTGCTTATTTCATTTGTATCTTTGTTCTGTCATTTATCTATGCTTGTAATTTGTTTATTTCCTATGCTGATTTACTCGCCTACAAAATCACCCCAATCACACTGATTTTTTTTTATAAATGGAGCTATTGAAGTCATCAGATTTTTTTTTGCATAAATCGCAATATATAAAATCGCAGAAAAAAAAATATCGCAATGTGAGTTTTTTTCCAATATCGTGCAGCCCTATTCCATAGAGAAACAAACTTTTATAAATATCCTTGCCACTCTATTCCACATGCTCATTGGTGATGTGCTTGCCAATTACAACGGCTGTCAGGAAAGATGGACATGTCTTCCCTCCCCTACATCTGTGTTACTCAAATGCACTTGGAAACACACACACATATTAAAGCAGGGGTATGGTGTGTCGACTCAAAGAGCTCATTAAATTCTCAATACCCTGGTGGAAGAGTGCAGGGAGGCAAGCAGTCATGTTTTTCATCTCTTCCATTTTATTTTTTCCTTCATTCTTCAGCACACAAAACTTTTAATCATATTAAAGAGAGTTGTCACGGAAGACACAGTTGAAAAGAAATAACAAGACTTCTCCTGAAAACCCCATTAAAACACTTGACAAGTGCAGATTTCTTTCCAGTGTTGGCCCACAACGTCTGCAATACTTAGAGAAACCTGTTAGCTACAGCATATTTTAGATTTCGTATTTCCCTAATTGCAATTTAAATTAATATTTTTGCCACAGATTTCCAGAAGAGCGACTGCTATACTAGAAGTGAAATCCGTCAGTTATTAAGTACACTAGCATACAGATGATCCTAATGTACTAAAAGATACAAAACTCACATTTTGATTTGGTGTCTGTGTTTGTGGTGTATTTCTCACCAGTAGCAGCAGCAGCACCATATCTGCGTGATCGCAGGCACAGGCCACATGCAGGGCAGTCCAGAGGTCTTCATCCTGCAGGTTGAC